AAATATATTTAATAGCCAGTGCTTGCAAAAAACATAATACCATCGATGTTGTAAGAAATACGCAGAAACAAATGCCAGCAAAGCTAGAACAACAGATGTTGCCGAAATAGAAAATAATAGCAAAAATCGTTTTATTTTTTAGTTTTCTCATAGTAAAATATTTTTGCTAATTTGTGCGAGAAATACTTGTAGTTTCCACATTTTTGGTGTTAATTTAATTGTTTGCGGAGAGTAAACAATGCAAGGTAAGCGGAAAACAAAAATTAACACACAAGAGCTGCCAGAGCTGAACATGCCAGTATATTATACACAAATGCACAAATGCACACACACACTCACACTCACTCCCACACACACTAACGGACGCCCCCAATTGCATCTGAAAGTTGCCAACGTTGCGAAGGTTGCAAAAATCTCATTGCGAGTGCATCAAAGTGTTGCTCATTTTTGCACTCGTTGCGGCAGTTACGAGCTTGTTGTTGTTGCTGTTTTGTGCACCTGAAACGATTGTTGTTGCTGTTGTTGGATGTTAAGTAAAATGAATTGCTTGCAGTTTATTTTGTTGCTTATCATATAAATTGCACTCGCCTGCAAGTCATTATTTGGCACATTTGCGCTCAATGGCTGCACATTGTTTCCTGAGCACGGGCAAAACGGTTGGGCGGGGGCAGGTGGTGAGCAGACGTCGACGCCGAGTGACGAACCGGAAGTGCACAGATACAGGCCACAAGAGCAGCAACAGCAAAAAAACACAACAGCAACACAAGTGCACAGGACCTGCAATTGTCTCTGATTCCTTAGCTCGCCACACTCAAAGAAAATCCTCAATAAAATTTATTCATACGCCAAGCAATTTAATCAGTAATCAGTGTAATAAATTGAGTTTCAGAAGTGCTTTTTATAATTCAAAAAAATAAATTGTTCAAATAAGTAATTATTATAAAAATATATTAATATATTAATTACCAATTTTTAAAAATAATTTAAAAAAATTTGATATACGAATGAATACATTGATGAATTTTGAAAATTGTGTTACTTATTTTAATTTATTAATCTCCCCTATTAAATGAAGCAATCCATTCCTGCTGAAGAAATCAGAAAGCATTTGAATGGTTTTGTGGGTTAAAAAAGTGTTTGTTAAATGATAAATGGAAGTCAAGTACGAACTTTTTTCTTAGCAAAGTCGATCGAAATATTTGAAACAGATTATATCAGTTTTGAAACCTTTACTTTTTGTTGTTGTATTTCCAAATTTTGCATTGAAAAAAGTCAGTAATCAATTCGCATTCTCTAATACTAAGAAAACAAGGGCCGATTATATGGCCATGTTAAATGACATAGTAGTCAAATATTATCGTAGTTAAAGTAATTAGCTTAATTTAAATAAAGAACTTTATATTAAAATGAAATAAATGTTATGTAATATCTCATAAAATATAATACAGAGTTTCGAAAAAAATGGGGAATCATCATTTAAGATGGGAGCTGTTAAGAGTTGCTTTTTTCTATGTGTATTATCCGACACCCCCTTTTCTGCTTGGCTGCATTCGAAATGGGACCCCAAGTGGCCATACAAGTAAATTTGCAGTTTTATTTACTACACCACACGACGCAGCCGAATAAGCCAACAATTGGCCAAGCGTTTAGGCCATTGTCAAAATGTATGGAGACAAAATATTCTCTTGGTTTTTTTGTTTTGCTTCAGCTTTATTTGCATAAGAAGCACACGTCGCTGTGTTGCAAGTCTCGCATGTTGTATGGCGCGAGTTGTGTTCCAAATAGAGTTGCAAGCACATTTGTATGCTTGAGTGTGTGGTGTGTGTGTATGTGTGTGCCACATTTGCAAGTCTATTAAAATGCAAACAAAGACCACATACAGATGCACACACGGCACAAGAAAAGGGGCGAAGAAATATTTTACAAATGCAATTGCAATTAAGTTGTCCGATTATTGGGTCAGATAGCAGTGACATTTAAGAATTGCGCCCGCAACGTTAACTTCGCATATAGATGCACAAACGTGCAGGTCGGTAAGAACACAAATAAAGATACACAGATACACACACATTCACACACTCGCAGATTGGGTCGCCCTGTTGACTCCTTAGTTTTGGCTTCAACAATGCACACGAGTCCTCAACAACTACAATTTGGGAGTAACGATTGTGCAACGGCCAAGATTAAAGTTCATGTACCTAAGGAATATGTTGCCTGAAGTATAGGAGACTACGAATTATAGGTAGAAGCTATCTTCAGCATGCGCCTCCTCCTTTACTGAACTGACTATCAAAAGCTTTTGCATATCAACTGCTTTATGTGTTAAATTAAATACTTTTCTCAGCTAAATTAATTGTTTATTTTCGCTAAATATTATGAAGTTTTAGTCATAAGCCCCAGCTTATCAGAAACCATACTATCCAAGATCAGTAGCCATTCCACCGAACATTAAATATTAAAAGCATAATGGGAATTATAGAAAACATTTAATAGATCTTTTGATCTTTGTTTACATCTCAAAGACATCAAGGTCGTTGAATCCATAATGCTTCCTGCTTAATATAAAATGAATCTGGAAATTATAAGTTTAAATTAAACACATGAGCACCATTATTTTAAATATTTATAGTCCAGCTTTTCATCATTTTACAAGCCGTTCACAGCTTTTCTGTATAATTTAATGTTAATGATCAGGAAGTAAAATTAAGTTTGCTTGAAATGTAAACTCATTTAACTATTCTGAACATCACAAAGTATTACACCTCTAATAAAATAAAAAACCTGTTTTTGTATCAAATTTCTTGTGTTAATAAATTTAAATCAACGATAAAGTGGGGCACATCAGTTTCATAACAACACAAAAATACAATACTCCTACAAATGTTAATACAAGTGGTTTTCATGTCATTAAATATATATTGAGCAATTAAATTTGAATGCCTATTGGGTTTGTCCAAGTTTTTTGTTTTGCTTAAGATGTTGTTTTAATTGTAGTTGTTTTAGAACGGGTTGAAAAGGTTTGTTGTATTTGTTATTTAACGACCAACCTCTAAATAACAACAGCAGCAGCATCATAAAGAAATATAAAGATCAGTCGTAGTCTTCGCACAACAGGTTTCGCTATCAAGCAATCGCTATTTCTATAAATATTTCAGACCTTAGAAACCAAACCTTAGTCAGTCTCAAACCCGATCCATTTCAATCGGAGAAGATGAATTTCAAGCGCTGTGTAAGTGTCGTACAAGCTGGAACATATTTTTATTACAAAGCTATTCCTGTTTTCCCATGTGCAGTTGCTGCTGTTGCCATTGCTATTGGCCGGTGCCATGGCGCTAAGCCCACCAGGACCGGAACCCGCCAAAGTGCCCCCCACACTCCCGCCGCCCTGCACACCCTGGTGCGCTGGTCAGCCCCCACCGCCCCCGGGCGCGGTCAACTAGAGCAGCCGCTGAATAAAGACAACAGGGGAGGAATGGGGGGAGGGGTGTAGGGATTGTGTTTGTAATTATTTTGTGCCATTTGGTAAAAACAATTAAACTCACATAAAGTATACAAATAACTTTTGTCGTCTTCTTCAGCTTCTGGTCACTAATTAGTTTGCTCGTATGGGCACCCAAGAAGTAAGATTTTATTGCTTGGGAATTGAACCAAAGCGTTCAGTATACGACCTTTTGGGTCCGCATCTTGCGCCACTTTGCTGCAGATTATTGTAAAGTGTTACACGATTGCTCGCAGCTGTAGTAGCTGCCCCAATAATTGTTCATGAAATAATCTTTTGTACACATATGGGGTTGAGATTGACTATCAACTTGAATGCCATTGAATGCTTAATTTTTATTGAAATTTCGAAAAGTTCTAAAAGTTTGAATAAATACACACGTGTACAATATTGATTAGAGTTGATGTTATTGCTCGTTGAAATCCGCTATGGATTTCAAAAACATGAAGAAGTCTTGCTTGTATCCTCATTGGCTAAAACGAGAGACTGAAAAGAACGTCCCGTTTCTTTTCTTGAAAATAAAACTAGTTTTAGCTTTCAAAACAACGAACGAACATCAGATTCGACTTTGGCAAATAATCTGCTTAGAGCTTTCAAATTGAAAGTCTAGATAGGCATTGCTTTATCGGTTCATCTCATCATAGACACGCCATTAGCATATCTCCTTCCGTTACAAATATAGAAAAATTATAAAAAAAATGCAAACTCTTGACTAGTTTTTAGTGTGTGTGTTGTCAGCAAACTATAATATAGTTTTGATAGCAACAACTTAAAAAAACTACACAGCATACGTTGTGAGCTGTACCTATGCTCTTAAATCTATGATGGTCTATACAAGATCAGCTCTATTCTATGCTTCGGAAGTTCATGTATAGTTAAGCATGACAAGCACCTTATGGGAAGAGCAGCTTGCCTTGCTGCTGTTCTTAACCACAAATATAAAACTATAACTCTTCAAACTCAAATGCTTGACACAAAACAAATGAATAAACATTATATTGTAGTTGCAGTGCTCTGGCATTAGCTACAACAACTAAAACAACGTTTGCATAACTCACAACAAATAGCGAGCATTAAAATCGCGATGCTGTCATTGCTGCCATCGTTGAAATGGCTTGCTCCTCTAGGTCTCAGCTGCGATAGCTAAACAGCTGAACAGCATTTTCTTACATTTTAAGTGGCATTGCTTTTAATTAGCTTTCCCACTCAAATCAACCTCATAACGCAGTTTCCGTTTCCCTCCCTTGTCGGGTCTAATGTGGTATCAAAAGATTTATGCAAACGCGTCTGCTGTTGTTTGCTAAATCATAATTTTGAGGGGAAGAGGCAGCTTCTCAGCACAAATCAGACATTGGTTTCCAAATCTACTTTGTTCGGACACATTTTTCAATGTTGGCGCCATTAAGCGGAGCCCATGAATTAGAAAATGTTTGCTTTGACGTTTGTACTAAAGCAATAATCCAGGAAAAGGCTAGTGGCTGTAAGAATAAACTTCAGAACGTTTAGTGGATTTGTTTGTCCTCACATTTATTTTTAGGCAATCAGATGAATAAATAACAAAGAAAGTATTTCGATCAAAAGTCGATTTTATTTAAGACATATTAGCCGCGATTGTAACCACCAGGTCCTCCGAAGCCACCTCCTGGTCCTCCGAAACCACCTTGTCCTCCGTAACCACCTCCTGGTCCTCCAAAGCCACCTTCTCCTCTAAAGCCACCTTCACCTCCACGATGTCCACCGAAACCGGAACCGCCACGATGTTCACCACCAAAGTTGCCACCGCCGAAATTACCGCCTCCGAAACCTCCCTCGCCACCATGACCTCTATGACCTTCGCGACCGAATTGGGGCATGGCCAGGACCGCCGAAATCAGGGCGAAGAATACAATCTGTAATTAATTCGTCGCACAATTAGTTGTACCTTCGCTCTGCTTCTCACAAACACTTACAAAAAGTTTCATTTTGATTATTTCAGTTTGCTTTGCGTTTTGGCAATGAACAAATTTTGGCTCGTCGGGGGTATTTATACGCAAAATCCGATCCGTATAGGCATACGATTTGTAGCTTATCAACAAAAATACACACGCAACAGAGGCCTCAATATAATAAGTGTTACATAACAATTTCATTCCCGTCTTGTGTCCAACGCTTATCTGCAATTTATACACAACATTTGTAAACAATTTAGTGTAAGGAGAAGAGCATTTCTAAATTTCTAAAAAATATTATAATATGATGAATATTTGCATAAAAATGTTCATTTTTGTCATATCATTTACTAAAGAATGTCGAGTTTGCAAAAAGGCAATTATCGACAAACAATTTGCACACATATTGTGGTAATTTTAAAAGTTAGCTCTTTTATTTAAAATTTGAAGAATTCCTTGTACAAATACAATTATTTACAGATAAATCTCTCACAATTGAAAAAAAAAAAAAACTTTCGAAAACTTTAATACGTAAACTATTTGCCTGTCTATTCATAGCATAATCTGTAGTTGTAAATAAATGATATGTATTTATTCAAATGATTTAAGTGTTAGCATAGATTATAAAGAGTATTGCAGCTTCGTTATTCTCGCAAAAATGATTTTCCGTTGTTTTTTTTTTTTTTGGCGCTGATAAATAAACGTTTTTGTTTTCACATTGACCGAGAATTTGTCGTTAATGCTTGATTCTTTCTAGAAAAGCGTAACAAAAATTCTAAGAACACTAATTTGTAAAACGTGTATTTGTTATGGGGTTTCCGGCAGACTTTGAGTTTGTATACAAAATTCTAGGGGATTTACAGACCTACTGGCGACATAAACAAGTCTAATGCGCAACTAAACGAATATTATTTATTATTCAATACTCATATGAGAATTGAATCAAAACACAATATGATGATTACGACTTTGAGAAAAACTTGTAGTGTTTTATTTATTCACAATTTTTAGTGTTAATATGTTTTGTAAACCTTAATGACGACGATGGTGTTGATTATGGTGGTGATGGCCACCGCCCCCACGATTGTTGTAGTTGTTGTTATAATGTCCACCACCAGGACGGCTGTTGTGGTAGTGATGGCCCCCATTATAGTGATGCCCATGACCTGACTGCCTGCCCAAGCCGCGACCAATGCCGAATCCAAATTGTATCCAAGTGGTATCAAAAGATTTATGCAAACGCGTCTGCTGTTGTTTGCTAAATTATAATTGTGAGGGGAAGAGGCAGCTTCTCAGCACAAATCAGAGACTGGTTTCCAAATCTACTTTGTTCAGACACATTTTTCAATGTTGGCGCCATTATGTGGAGCCCATGAATTAGAAAATGTTTGCTTTGACGTTTGTACTAAAGCAATAATCCAGGAAAAGGCTAGTGGCTGTAAGAATAAACTTCAGAACGTTTAGTGGATTTGTTTGTCCTCATATTTATTTTTAAGCAATCAGATGAATAAATAACAAAGAAAGTATTTCGATCAAAAGTCGATTTTATTTAAGACATATTAGTTATTTTATATTATTATTACTGGTTCTTCGAAACCTCCTGGTCCTCCGAAACCACCTCCTGGTCCTCCAAAGCCACCTTCTCCTCTAAAGCCACCTTCTCCTCTAAAGCCACCTTCTCCTCTAAAGCCACCTTCTCCTCTAAAGCCACCTTCTCCTCTAAAGCCACCTTCACCTCCACGATGTCCACCGAAACCGGAACCGCCACGATGTTCACCACCAAAGTTGCCACCGCCGAAATTACCGCCTCCGAAACCTCCCTCGCCACCATGACCTCTATGACCTTCGCGACCGAATTGGGGCATGGCCAGGACCGCCGAAATCAGGGCGAAGAATACAATCTGTATTTAATTCGTCGCACAATTAGTTGTCCCTTCGCTCTGCTTCTCACAAACACTTACAAAAAGTTTCATTTTGATTATTTCAGTTTGCTTTGCGTTTTGGCAATGAACAAATTTTGGCTCGTCGGGGGTATTTATACGCAAAATCCGATCCGTATAGGCATACGATTTGTAGCTTATCGACAAAAATACACACGCAACAGAGGCCTCAATATAATAAGTGTTACATAACAATTTCATTCCCGTCTTGTGTCCAACGCTTATCTGCAATTTATACACAACATTTGTAAACAATTTGGTGTAAGGAGAAGAGCATTTCTAAATTTCTAAAAAATATTATAATATGATGAATATTTGCATAAAAATGTTCATTTTACAAATACAATTATTTAAAACTCTCACAATTGAAAATAAACTTTCGAAAACTTGAATACGTAAACTATTTGCCTGTCTATTCATAGCATAATCTGTAGTTGTAAATAAATGATATGTATTTATTCAAATGATTTAAGTGTTAGCATAGATTATAAAGAGTATTGCAGCTTCGTTATTCTCGCAAAAATGATTTTCCGTTGTTTTTTTTTTTTGGCGCTGATAAATAAACGTTTTTGTTTTCACATTGACCGAGAATTTGTCGTTAATGCTTGATTCTTTCTAGAAAAGCGTAACAAAAATTCTAAGAACACTAATTTGTAAAACGTGTATTTGTTATGGGGTTTCCGGCAGACTTTGAGTTTGTATACAAAATTCTAGGGGATTTACAGACCTACTGGCGACATAAACAAGTCTAATGCGCAACTAAACGAATATTATTTATTATTCAATATTCATATGAGAATTGAATCAAAACACAATATGATGATTAGGACTTTGAGAAAAACTTGTAGTGTTTTATTTATTCACAATTTTTAGTGTTAATATGTTTTGTAAACCTTAATGACGACGATGGTGTTGATTATGGTGGTGATGGCCACCGCCCCCACGATTGTTGTAGTTGTTGTTATAATGTCCACCACCAGGACGGCTGTTGTGGTAGTGATGGCCCCCATTATAGTGATGCCCATGACCTGACTGCCTGCCCAAGCCGCGACCAATGCCGAATCCAAATTGCGGCACTGCCAGCGCAGCAGCCATTAACGCGAATAGAAAAGTCTGGCGATAGAAAAAATATATATTTACATTTTAAATTATATTAATTTAATTGAAAAGTATACTCACAATTCCGAACAATTTCATTTTGCTGGCTGTGTGGCTTGTTCTGCTTTGGTCGTTGAACCCTTGAACTATAAATCAGTGGTGGCTTGACCTGCAGCATTTATACCCGAAATATGTCGGCAGAGACAATGGATTGAAAATGCGTTATCTGCTAATATGCTCGGCGAGCGAACTTTACTTTACTTAGAGCGTAGGAGCGATTAGTTATCAGTCTACTCAAAAATAAACAAAAGGAAGTGCTTATCATCAAGAGCTGTGTAGTGAATTGGAAAACAAAATAGACGCATTTCTTCCACACTCTTTTGTAACTAAAATGTGAAAACTTATAGTACAAATATTGCAAAGATCATTACACTTACCTTGTAAGTTCGCTATCAACAGCAATTTTCATAGCATGCACTCGATTAGATGACAGATTTGTACGAAATTTTACAGATAACCCCGAAGTAAATCAAATTACATGACCTAGAGAGCTCAGTTTAATCACAAACAATGTATGGCGAATGTACATTTACATATTCAAGGAATAATTAAAAGAAGTAATTAAAGCTCTTTATCAAGCAGTCATTTGTAAAAATGAAACAATAATAATAATAATATATACATATATAAATACTCGTCTAAACGAGTCTATCTAAAGCATCTAATATTTGTTCGTTATTTTCTTTTTGATTTGTGTGTGTTTTCAATTAATAGTCGATATTCTTTTACGGATATATTTTAACTTTAAACGCTCATCAAGTCTCTGAAAAAATATCTCTAAAACAAGAGAAAAAGCTACAATCGAGCAGCCCTCATAATGATACACCCTGTAAAATAAAATTGTTCCTATATAAATTGTACCTTAGCATTCATCATACAATATATTCCACTAGCGAAAAGGTGTTCATGTTTAATCTTCGAAGACTAATGTTATCTTTGTAGGATTTTTGTTTAAAAGTATTCTTAATTCGTGTTCGCTGTCTTCAACTTTATGTGTGGTTTTTGTCAAAACAAAACACAGTTAACCAAGAAAGAAATACATATTTTTAAGTAGTCCAGAGTCTATAACTTTTTGGTATGGCAGATTGGCAAACTAACTGCATGATCGAGCCTAAATCCGAAACTGAAATCCAATATAGAAATGAATAGAAATACATATGTGTAAATTGTTAGATTTTCTTATTATTTTATTTTAGCAGTTTAATAACGTTGGCCATGTCCTCCGTGACCCAAATTGTTCTGTCCAAAGCCTCCCTGGCCACGTCCACCTTGACCAAATCCCTGCTGACCACCTTGACCGAATCCTCCCTGGTGGCCACCTTGACCGAATCCTTCCTGCTGGCCGCGTCCACCTTGACCACCAAATCCTTGCTGGCCGTGTCCGCCTTGACCACCAAATCCTTGCTGGCCGTGTCCCGATCCTTGCTGACCGTATCCACTCTGCTGGCCGTGTCCACGTTGAGCCGCAACGATGGCGATCAAAGCGAAGAAAAGAATCTGCAAAAGGAATAAAATATTGAACTTGAAAGGCAGCTCAGAGCCTTAAGCATCGCTTTGCACTTACGAAGAATTTCATTTTGTTGCTGCTGTTTGTACTTTCAATTAGCTACTGATTTTTCAGCGGTAATCGCTGCAATATTTATACAAAACCATAAAAAATCGAACACTAAACAAGTAAAAAAGCTAAAGTCGGGTGTCCCGACTTTGAAATACTCTGTACATATGTTTACAATAATTATAAAAAATAAAAAAAAAAAATAAATAAAAAAAAAATTGGATCGATTTTACCTCTCTCGGTATTCGAACTCACGTAAAGGGTGTATAATTGCACATTTACATAGCAATTGCGTCTGTGTGAGTGTATGTATGCCTATGCGCATCAATTCGTGTCTGTGTAAGCATTTTCGCAGTCAACCAAACAGCAACATCAACAACAGCCGCGGGCAGCGCTGCAGCAGCGCTGCAGCAGCAAATATATTTATGGCTATAACTTCTTGGTAAATCGGTCTATCATAGTGAAACTTGGCATACGGACACATAATTACTAACTGGGGGTATTTGCAAAATTTTAGTTCGAAATTCCAAGAATTACGGGAGTTAGAGAAAATCGCATTTGCGGGGGAGAGGGGGGAGGGAGGGAAATTCCAAAATATACATTTTCTGCGTATTCACACAAGGCATCTTGGACTAAAATTTGGTGTGCCTAGGTCTTATAGTCTCCGAGATATAGGCGATTATACGAATGGAAAATCGGGAAAACCCCCATAGGGGGGAAGTGGGGGGGAAAATCAAAAAAATAAAACAAACTCGTATAGAATATACACATAACGCATCTTCGTGCAAAATTTGGTGTCTCTATCTCTTATAGTCTCTGAGATCCAGGTGTTCATACGGACGGACAGACGGACAGACGGACAGACGGACAGACAGACAGACAGGGCTAGATCGACTCGTCTTGTCACGCTGATCAATAATATATATACTTTGTGGGGTCTGCCACGCCTCCTTCTGCCTGTTACATTTTTCAGCTCCCGCAAACCTAATATACTCTTGTACATTTCATGTACAGAGTATAAAAACAACCAAACAAAATTCGAAATAATAACTTTTTATATACGCATTTATTTGTTCTGTGGCGTTGGTTGTGTATTCTATATTCTAATTTATACGAATATATATACATATACTATATATTTTTAAATGTTTATTTGTTTATTTTGAAACGTTTCGGTCCTTATCTCGGCTCACCCGCAGCTGCAAACGCGACTCGTAATCGGACCTAATCACAAATTATTTGTCGTAGTCATCGCCTCTACCGTACAGTTTGTTTGAATGAAACAACACGATTTTGAAATGTGCTCCAATTGCTTTTAACCTTCAACTTGAACTCGATATGATTTGTTTGTCTGACGTTATTCAATTGACTGATAAGACTAATCTCGTTTCCTCTATTCAGCACAAAATCAATTTCGAAAATGCAAGTGACTTCAATGTCTACACAAATTCAGAGGGGAAAGTAACTAAACATAAAACAATTTAAATATGAAGAGCTGTGGGGATGTACATGAATTTTAGTTTAATTCACAAAAATATTAGGGCAGAGTCAAGCACCGAATTAAAGAGCAAGCCCTCTTGATTTGTCGGAATATTAAAGAAAATATTCCATTACTTGTACTTGGTGTATGTTGTACAGAAACAGTTCCAGTGGAAATTAAATTAATTGATGGAGGCATAGGTTTTATGTATTTATTTATTCACCTTCCCATTGATTGCTTTAATTGACAATTTCCTGCCATGATTTAGAAATAGACACACTTTCAATTAGACTGATAGCCGTCAGGCACGCTTGCAGCATTTTCTTAAATACTTATATTTTAAAATTCAATCAAACCAAATAATAATAATACGGAATACACGTATTTAATAACTAAATATTTGATTATTATTAATCAATGCAATGCTACTGCACTGAGCGATAATTATTCTTCATATGAGATTGATTTAGTTTTATTTAATTTGAAACTATCATTTAATGCATTCAATTAATTGCATTCAATTTGTTAGGAATACAAATATATATAAACACAGATCAGCCCAATTGATTAGCTCATATGGTCCCAAGAAATTTACGAAAGCTTCTTACTAATTAAATTTGTAATTTGTAATGGACTTAGAATGTTTCACTATAATCTTAAATAATTGCAATTAGCACTCTATTAAAAAGCTGTCTTATGCTTTAAGGCTTGCTTAACTTTATTCTCTGTGTTGATACGTTTTTAAATGCCCTTCGTGTGCTTGAAAGTATTGATTAAAACAGTAGTGTTCTAATAAAATAATACCTGAATAGTATGGTACGTTAGTAGCCTAAAAAAGTTCTCAAATAAAATAAAAGAGCAAATGCAATTTATAAATTGTGCTCCTTTCTCTAAAGATTTAATAAATAATCGAAGACAGGAAAATAAAAGAACCAACAAAAATAAGCATGATGAGCTAGAAATGAAAAGCAAAAGCTTGCTAGTTTTGAGCCAAATATGGGACAGATTAAAAAATAATGTACTTATTATAGTTTTTAGAATAAACATCGTCAGCTTCAGTTAATGTACAGTTAACAAATACAGTAATACATTAAATATAAGCATGCTTCATCTTTTCTTATGTAATTCATTTAAACTAAGGAAGTATTCGTATTGTTGGCTGCCTGATGTGTGGCAGCAGCACAGGCCTCTGGGTATTTAAAGGCATTAACGGTGCTACTTTGGCTGTTGTTGTTGTTGTTGCTGTGGCTGAAACAGGATATAATGATGCAACAATAAACTTGCTTAATGCCTTCAGCAATGAAGTAATTAAAATATTTTTACGCTCATCCTGCTGCACAAAGTCAACATAACAAGAAGAAGAAAAGGAATAACAATAACAGTAAAAACAAAGTTAGGCGCCACCGTCTGATGCTTTATAAGTGTCCAGCACTCCCGACAGACATCCCACAAATATGCTCTTTACAAAGTTGAAGACGGTTTTAATTAAAACGGATAATACGGCGCGTTTGCAAATTAAACGATTTACCAAATACGTTAATGGTTTAATAATAAGCGTGGTTTCATTTTCTTTTTACTTTAAATTGCAACTAGTATGTAGTTGTGTCCAACCACTTACACAATAAGCAAATGACATAAATTAAATCTTTTAACACAATTTCGATCTAGTTCTCTCAATTCGATTGATTTCTTAGAAAATTCAAAACGTTTCGCTAGTTTCCCCAACCGTTTCAATTCAGAAATTCACTGCAAATAACAGAGGAATCGCCAACTCCGACCGCTCGCCTGGTACCCGACGGCAAACAGCCCCGCATCCATGGGTCATCGGAATATTTGCTGTGATGGTTGCAATCGTCTGAACTTCTTTGGTCGTCGCTTCAAGTGCCTGCGTTGCGTGAACTATGATCTATGCGGGGAGTGCTATGACCAGCGTATAGAAACGCACGATCACTCTGTGGACCATCCCATGCAGTTGATTCTGGAGAATCAGTTGCCCGAACTGATATTGCCTGGCGAGACACTGGAGTTAATGCATCTGCCCAATTGCTATACCTGTCCCTACTGCGGTCTCTTCGGGCAATCGGCTAAGCAGTTGATCGATCATGTCGTTACACTGCATCGTCTCTCCGACACCTATGTGGTGTGTCCAATGTGCTCGGTTCTACCGGGCGTCGAGCTCGTGACCATTAGAAACCTGGCCCGTCATCTACTGCTCAACCACACCGAGCACGCCAATTCATTGGACCCGGATACGCCGCCGTTGCGGGCGTCTTTGGGACGCGCATCGCGCCGGCGCCGACGCCAGACCAGTACTAGCAACTCCTCCACGTACAGCCAAAGCAACAGCAACAGCAACAACAATAACAACAACAACAACAACAGCATAAGCAGTGTCAGCAGCAGCGTCGACTCCGAGGCGGGCATTGACATTTTATTTCAGCTTACAGAAATGAGACGCTTGCGCCCGAATCTGGCCAACCTAAGTACGCGCTGGCCCCTCGCCCAGCAATTGGATAACATAGAGGAAATATCTGAGGATGAGGTACGCGCCCGTTCTGCAAATCTGTCAACAAGTGTCGCCGCCGAACCCTTAATCACGCGCACCATTGAAGAGCTGACCTTATCGCTTTGCTCCCCGCCAACGACCACCGAACGACCCGACGCGGATAAGTTTTTGTTACTGAAATGGATTGCGGCAGAAGAGGAGCGGACACAGGGCGCAGAGGAGGTCTCGCACCAGCGCCAATGCCATCGAGTATTCACAGAGCACTTGCTTCTCTCCATGCTATGCGAGCGCGAGCTAAGGTTGCCAGAACAGAATGTGGAGCCTGTGGTAAATCGGAAGCTAATCCCTACCATAGAAAAAGAGGATAAGGAACTGGTGCTCGCCCTCAAAGACTCAGATGAAGGTAGGGAACCAGAAGAATCAAAAGCAAAGCCACGCCGGTCTGAAGTCATGAAATTAATGGCTCTGCCATGGGCCTGGGCCTGGCAAGCGTACAGCAAGATACAGTTTATAGAGCTGGAGGGCGTTACTTTAGACGAGAGCGAAGTGAATGGGCAGGAGTTGATCCAGCAGCATGAAAAGGACGAGAAGGAGGTGGATATCGATTGATCCAAACAGTGCGAAATTTCCGGTTTTTGTAGTAGGGGGCTTTTTCTTCTTTTTTCTTCGGCAAACGTTTCCTTAAAATTCTTTAAAATTATTGTACAAATTTCAAATTTTATATGTGAACATTTATTTTATTTTGAATTTGCTGAAAAAAAAAAAAATAATAATAATTAGTGTTTAAAATTGATCAAACATGCCATTAGTATATTATTTTTAAATGAATCCTGCAATGTAGTAGATTCTACATAAATTATTAAAATTCGTAGTTAATTTTAGTGATTTTTGTTAAATGTTTCTCCCTAGAATACCGAATACCATGATTGAATACCAGACTCGAAGTTGAAGCAAAAACCAGAACTCTTTTCAATGTTGTTTTCGGAATAACATGAAAAATGGAGTATGAATCAACGTTCATATGAAATATTGCACAAAAGAAATACTTCTATATTTATTTATCGACGATACCATCACGCAACTCCAAAACATCTTAGTAGACAACAGAATACAAGTTGCGGCATAAATAACATTCCATTATTAACGCCCCGATCTTTTTATTTGATTTAACTGACAACTATATCATTGTTATCCTTCCATATGGGGTACTTCCATACCTATTTGCTAAAAGTTTTCTGTTAAAAATAGCAACAATTTATTAGTAATATTAATTGGACTACACTATGTGGCGAATTATATTTATCTGATTAGTTAATAATATATGGTATAAGCTTTTTAAATACCAAATGCACAGACTTCTTAATTTCAATAACAATGAACATAACACTACTCTCCGATTTCTCTTTCCCACCACTATCGCCTATGTGGAATTGAAATAGAATTCTACCCATTTTGCAACAATTTCATTTAAATGCCACCAAGCCCTGTCCAACTTGTGTACTTTTTGCCTTAATTTCTTTTGTCGGCTTGCCAAAATTTTCACCGGACTATTTCTGTTTCTGTTCCTGTTTTGTTCTATTCTCTTCCAACGGGGGCCAGTCATAAGAGTAATTTTGAACAGGCTCATTTTCAAAAGGTGGGCTGCTGCTATTTTCGTGTTTCTCTCTCTCTCTCTCTCTCTCTCTCTCTCTCTCTCTCTCTCTGTCTCTCTCCCTCTGTGCTTACAATCCTGATTTTTCTTTCTTTTCAATTTCAACGCCAACAACGGGAAATGCAACACAGGCTGCCAACGTTGCCAACGTTGCCCAGCTGGCCATGTTAAGACTGCAGACGAGCATTTGTGTGGGCAATTATTTTATGGAGTGTTTCAGGGGGCCACATGAATATACATACATATGTTTATGGGTGTTTGTGTGTGTGTGTGTGTGTGTGTGTGTGCGTGTGGGGGCGTGCATGTGTATATGTGTGTGTGTATGCGCACCTTATGTTTACCAAGCGCGAAAGTGGAAACGTGCTGCAAACATGAAGTTCGTTCGCCGTTGCCGCGACGTCATTTTGGCTAAAGGTGAGTGCGTGACTCACGCTTGCAACACTGAAACCATTTCCATGAATCCAAGGGCTTATTCTTTTCAAGACAGTTAACAGTTCACGCATTAATTTAATCCTTAAAAATCAATTATGTTTTGGCGACTAAATTGGAGAACAATTTATGTTTTAGTTTTATTTTGTTTGTAATAAATTTAATCTTGTCTGATTTCTGATTCCAATGTTTTTTATTTTACGTTAGTTAAGACGATATTAGATAATTTTAGCTGAAATTTGGCTTAGGAGGGAAGTTAAAACAAAATCTTTTTTTTAAAGATACAATTATTTGATAACAAAGTGACGTTTTCAACTAATATTTCGCTAGATAGAGAAAGCATTTCTAAAATACGGCTATTATTGATGTAATAAAATATGTAGATTGCGATTTTTTCTTCAATCGCATACATTTCACATAAGTACTGCATATTTCTTGTTATGACAATTTTTTGCAAAAGTTGTATCTTTACGTTACATAAAAGGCGAAAGAAAATTTTCTTTAATATGCGAATGCTTTCTGTTAACATCTTCACGCTCACATCGCAGTGTCATCTCCATTGAGGAATATCAACTGCTTGGGCACTGTTTCCATGCTTTACGTTTTATAATAGGATTTGAATACAATGGCATTGTAATGAAATGTGCAGCAGCAATGGCAATGGCAACGAGAATGGGAATGGGACCGACAGCGCCATGAAGTTTAGTTTGCGGTTGCTTTCTAGGCTTGGGTTTAGTTTCCATGTGTTCTGTTGCCAGTTGCAGATTCCGCCGCTCTAGTCGGCCTCATGGACGCCATCGCCGTCGTCTTTGTACAACAAGCCAAACAGCTGTTCGTTGTTGCAAACTCCCTGCAAGCTGCAGGCTGCATAGTGGCCGAATGAGTCTGGCTGCTTGCTCCGCTCCACAATTTGAGTTGGTAATTAAAAGTAAAGTAACGGCATAAGAATATGAACACCGCCACACGTGTGCTTGCCATGGCCCTGTGGGGTGGCCATTAAGTTGGATTGCTCCAAGTATTTGCTAACTGTGGCTTTAAACATTTCTGCAAATCGAAAATAAAAACTGAATACTGAGTCAAGGCAGAATAAACGACTAAAAATTACATCCAACTACTATACTTAGGAATAGATTGTAGAATAAAGAAATATGAAGATACAATTTTGGTAAAGCTGGAATATTTTAGAAGATTAGAGCACTATTTATGCTGGAAGATGAGGCCCAATTTTCCACCACAGTAGTCCAGTTGACATGGATAACAGATTAACAGTTATGGTTGGTTATAAGAGATTTCATTCACTTCTGGAAAGAAGAAATCTTTAAACATATTATCTATATAAATGGCAATTAGTTTCTGAAAAAGTACCGCCCGTTGGTGCTACGCCACACCTTATTGACAAAGCTCCTAAGGCCGAGCTCAGATTCATTGCTGAACAGCGAATTGATTCGGTGAAGTCTCTAGCATTCAGGAACTTTCCATCTAGTGTTTATTTATATATGGATCTAATGTTTGGTATTGAAAATCCTTACAAGCATCGTTTTTAAGTCTTTCTGTTTCTGAACTTGCACAGCAAACTCGCATCAATCAATGCCTTTGTCATCATTAATTTAGCAATTAAATGTAATTCGAATTTTATTTCTCATTCAACGTAATCAACCGCTTCCCCTTTAATCTAAGCAAGCCCTTTAGTCGAGTACTTGCGTTAATTAACAGCAAGGGCAACGGAAAAAATCTCAACTCCAAATCATTCATTTATTCAAAGTTCGCAACGCTTGTGTGACGCCCTGCTCATTAACCCATTAAACGCCCCCATTTCAATTGTCTAATTGTGTTGGTGTTGCTGGCGTATTTTCTTAAATCTGTATATAGGATATGTACATACTGTGTTCTTTTATATTTTATTTTTGTGTTCATTGCGTTCGAGTCAAGCAGTCGATTGAACTTGTTTTTATTTATGTTGATTTCCGGCAATTTTAGAGTAAGCTTGCGCAGAATGGCTTGCGCAATCAATCAAAGTCAACATGGCTGCGAGCTATAAATTGAGATATAGACGTCTTTCCAAATGGTTAAGTGCGGCAACCGCGTACTCGTGCATCACAAAAAAATGAATTCCTTCAGTGGAAATGCGTTTGGTGGTCTACAGATGAAAAAAAAGGATTGTCATGTGTACGTGTGTGTATGCGTAGGAGTGAGTGTGTGTGTGTGGGTGTGTCTGTGGGCATGGGTGGATGTTGGGTGCCACTGACGTGTGACACTTGAGCGACACTTGACGCCCGATAATTGATATTGTACAAGAGTGAAGGGCGGCCCTGATGCCGCTTCCGCTTGCTCGACACCAACGGCAAGTGAAGTGCATGTTAAGATGCTCGATATTATCGCTGACATTGACAGTTGACTCTTAAATGTCTGTATAGTCAGCATAGCGCCCCTAACCCGAAAAGGACACGGATGCGGAACTCAACCCGGTGGTTTACTATTTATTACTATTTTGAGCTAAACATTATTAGCATATAGCTGATGCTTGTTCAAGGTCACATGGAATAGAAAGACAAATAGATTTTGGTACGAATTATTTGAGAGAAATACTATACATTCCGAAATTGTTAAAAAAAGCAGTAATATTGTTAATAAGTTGGACGTGAAAGAGCCATATTATTCCCAAGATCGGACCAAGATTAATGAGAAAACGTTAACGTCTTACCTGCTCGAGTTATTTTAGTACACTAAAGTAAGCATTACTAGGTAGTAACAATGTGTAATTAAAAAATCTATTTTACACACAAGTTGGTATTCCAAGTGTACAAAAACAAATACTCCAAACAAATACGGCATGAAGAGGAGTATATGTTAGAAAAGCTGCTTTAAATATAACAAAAATTGTGATACTGTGGAGTTTAGTTCCATTTTTTTTTTTTAAGAATACTTTGGTTTTAATACACAATTCTTTCTTTAATCATGTATTCTATGGCTGCCAAATGATGGCATGCTGAGGCTCGATATATGTTAGCCAAAAAGAACGCGATAGCTCTACAAACTGGTTCACAAGTTATATTTAATAATTATTAAAAATGATTATTTAATACAGTAAATGATATTCAAAGATTAATTTACCATATGAAACTCCTTTATTTAACACACTTAAACATATTATAGAAATAGAGAGCCACGTTGGCGTTTCTTGACTGCAGTCCAGTAAACATGATAGTGCACGGTGTAATACAGAAGACTAGACACATTTAGCCACTTGAGCTAAGACTGTAAATTAGTTAGACAGTACATATATAAGTGGGACGGACTGCACATTAGTTGGAATGATTTACAGCTGAATTCATTTCCCTTAGCCCGACTTCTATATCTTTCAGCTGCAAGTTGCTGAACCGCAAGCTGCCCAAAGTGCCAATTTACACACTGCCACACTGTTGCTCGCACTTTGTTTCAAGGGGTGATGAAAATACGTGTAAGGAAGAGGGTGGGCAAGAGTGGGGAAGGGGGTGGCTTGGGGCTGTACACACGCCAAAGTGTTGATAATTGTTGACCATTAAATCGCACCGCAAATCAAGTGCAGCATTGCACTGGCCTGCAATTCATTTGTGGCATGGATCATTGCCGGGCCAGACACGGAGCGCGCGGGACGGTCAACAACTATGGGGCATGGTCTCAGGCGGCCGTGTAAACCAAA